TCTGCAGTTGCATTATAAGTATTAATATGTTTGAGATGAGGAAGAAGAAGGGCCTGTCTTGTAACTGGCAGTTGAATTTACATTCTTCTGTCTTTTCTAGAATAATTATGTTACATCCTCGTGGCGCAATGGTTAAATCGCTGTCTTACAGCCAAAACTGTGCTCACAACCTGGGGTTCAATCCCAGGTAGCCGGCCTAAGGTTGATTCAGCCTTCTATCCTTCCGAGGTCGGTAAAATGAGCACCCAGTTTGCTGGGGGGGGCAATGTGTAGCCTGCATAATTAACTTGTAAACCGCCCAGAGAGTGCTTGAAGCACTATGGGTCAGTATACAAGCAGCATGCTTTGCTTTGCTATAGTGTAGTGCTCCCCAACCTTTTCCAAACCATGGACCAGTTGGGGGGGCAGGGCACCCCCTGTGCACAGATGGGCAGGGTGTGCATGCATGCATGTGCGGGCAGGCGGGGTGCAGAGACGCATGCATGGGTGGAGCACACACGGATGGGAGGGTGGGGCACGCGCATGCACGGGTAGGTGGGGCATGCGTGTGGGTGGACATGGGGGTGCAGGAGATCTGTCTCCATTGCCTGGGCCTGCCAAGGCCCTGGCCCGATGCCAGGCCGCGGGTTGGGGACCACCGGGTATAGTGCACGAAAAAGAGAAGAACACAATACATTGGCATTTATGATTAACAGAACTGAATATTTTCAGCTGTTTGCTCTGTATGTTAGCACAAAATGTTCAATTTGCTGTCAGAGTTTGTAAGATGTCAGCACATATCTATACCTCTGAGGTACAGAACCTTTGGATTTTCCTACCTCTGCATAGTACGTTAGCTTCACGGAAGGTGTGTCCTGGCAAGGAAGAACAGCTCTGCAGTGCGTAGCCTTTAAAAAAAAAATTAGTACAGATTAGAAATGTTATTTTTGTAGGTAACTGTTGCATTCAGCATAAAAGAAAAAGAGCTTCTGTATAATATGATCATATTTTGCAGTGTCCACCCTCAACAATTTAATTGAATACATCTAAACACAACTCAGGTTTTTACTGCATTTTCACAGTTATTAAGTCACTTTCTAAGAGCATTCCTATTAAACTTCAAGTTTAGAAAGTAAATTCAAATTTAACAGGTGGATGCCAAGTTGAGGGGTAAAACTGAAAAGACTGTATATGTGTTATTAATTGTCTGTATCTCACTGGCTTACAGACACAGCCTCCAAAAAGTTTTACAAGACTTAGCATTTTGTAGGAAAATTTCCACGTCTCGTGAGCAAGACAGCACACACCAGGGTTTTATACAGCAAAGAAACATACACACTTTCCATTAAAAAAATCAGCAGATGCCAGAGGATGCTATTAGGAAAATGTTCAGAAATATCAAAAGGTTCTCTAGAAAGTTCCTTTCCAAAGCAAAAAAATGCATTTATTTTAATTTTTATACCACCTCTTTCAATTAGGAGATGCAGGGCAGATAAAATCTTATGTATAGAACCTAATGATGCATTAGACAAAAATGTTTAACATAAAAATCAGTAGTGCCATCACTATTATTAGCAGTTTTACATCAGAAAATAATACCTATTACAAAAGTTATCACCTATACAGAGATAGAGAAATATATACACAGCTGAGGTAACAACTTGTGTAAGAGCACACAAGTATAAAATATAGGGAAAAAAAAGAAATTTAAGTATCTAAGATTATCAATGGCAATATTACCCTACTACATATTGTCTCTTAAAATGATCTGATAGTATAAGAGAGGTACATTCCAAGTATATTCCAGTCCAAAACATCAATTCATGCTTAATTTACATGTTCAGACAACTCTCTGTGGTAGAATGTCTTATATCTGCTTAAGGAATCTATCTGTAGTATCCCAACAGGAAGAGTCCAAGAGAGTTACTTTTATATGCAAATATGAGGACCTCAGAGTCAGATGAGCTTTTTCTTAGGGTTAATTTATCAGCAAAAAACCATAAACAGAAATGGCAACAAAACAAGGCTTTCTTTCCTTATTCATATCAGAGTACTGCACAATTAAAATGTATGTATATATGAACTATAGGTAAAAATTAAAAACAAATTAAAATGTTAGAAATATCATATTTTGTGGTCATAAAAGGACCACTCATTTTTCTCATCAGCAAGTTTGCAGTGCAGTGCTTCTCGAAGTGAAGGATTGGCTGACTGTGCCATTTATTTTTAGTATGATCACCTGACTAGAGTAGATTTAATGGTTCCATATTCTAAATGCTTAAAATCAAAAGTTTGATTAAGTTCCACTGATATGTATTGTATTCTTTGTTTCACTAATATTTCTGACCCATGGTAGAATTATAAACCTTTTTACTATTGCTCTTCGTACTGTTCATCCAAAAAGTCAAATGAACAATGTGACCATTTTATTTAGAGTAACAAAGACAGTAAGATGTGAAAACCAGTGGCCTTGTTAATTCATACAGTTCCTTCTAATATATGCAACATGCCATTTCTTGAGATGATATGAAAAAGGCAGGACTAGACACAGCCTCTCAGTTCCAATTAATTGAAGTTGTTTGTGCCAACATAGTCTTACATAGCTATGCCAGCAAAACATAAATGGAGTAAATTTGGGACACAAATTGCCTCAAGTTAAGAAATCACAGTAGACATTACCAGTTGCACACTGGGTTACACAACTCAGTATACAATAGATAACATTTGCAACAACTTAACTGAGGCAATTTGCTTCCACATGTTACACCACCTGTGTTATACTGTGGTAACTATGTTAGAGGATTTTGGCCACTGTGCCTTAGACTATGAATATAAAAAATCATCACTGTTGGTGCATCTTTAAAGGCAAAGGACATTCAAAGTTTGGAGAATCTTTATTGCTTGCTTCCCAATAGTGCAGGATTCCCTGCCACACAGTTATATAGAGTGGCTGAAATCTTGTAAGATAACAGTGTAATTCTTGGGCATGAATTGCAGCAAGTTAATGAATCTCTGCAGACATTCTTTCTTGCACACCAAATTGTAACAGATAATGTCTTGACATTCAGGAAATGTGTAAAATCTGAGCTTTTTAAGGAGGCCTTCAGAAAGATCCTCCTCTATCATTTTCTCTCGCTGGCCCATGTGACTGTATTTGAATTAGTTTGCCATTGCTTTTGGAGGTTTCTTCCTTTTTTTCTGTTTTTATGAATTCGGTGTTTTCTGTTGGTGAGTGGGAAATGGGTGGTTTATGTACTTATTTGTTGTTATCCACCCAGAGTAGTGGCTCACCACTAGATGGGTGGGATATAAATGTAATAAATGTATAAATGCAAATAAAGATTTCCCAACTTATGGCAATGTGTGCAAATGCACAATAGGATTTCTACCAGCATGTTGCACATTATTGCTTCAAGATTTCAGTTGACAGGAAATGTGGAATACTTGGAAAGGTATACCCATACAACTTGCTATCCCCAGCAAAAAAGGACAGCTCAACACCATGCTCACCTGACACTGACTGAAGAGGAACGGATGCCTTTTTCCTGAAGTCTGCTCTGGAGTAAACCACTGCAGTGCTGAAGACCTTGGAGAAGTTTCAAAAGAGATCTCTACAATCACATCTTGCCCCCTGCAAATATTCAAATAGTTAGGGATACACACACTTCTTAGTACATACGATAAAATGAAGTATTTCTGCCGCATGGTTTCAAAAAGTTAGAGTAACTGTCAGTGTGATTTTATAACTGCTGATTTGGTGATAGGTGCAACAGATTTATTACAAGTACTAACAGCCATGAAGATTAACCCTGTTATTTGAAGCCATATGGGATGGGGCATGCAACTTCCAATCAAACAACTGCTGAAGGCTTTCTCAGCTGTGCAATAAATGACCCTAACCTCAGAGTACATAACTTCCTACATAAAAGTTTCTTCAAGACAAGGAACTATGCCTGCCTACTGACATAAGGAAGCCAGAACTATAAAAAAGGGTTCTGGGCTTACAGATCTCAAGTTTGTAAAGGGCTTGGAATACAAAGCACACAAAACACTTTTCGCTTGTGTGTTGGTTGCACAATTAAGAATGAGATTCTCTGCATTCAGTTCATTCATAGCAAGCCAGGATTCTCCGGAATCCTAGTTTACCCTTTCATACAAACACTTCCATTGTATCATTTCCTTTTAAGCGAATGTGATGAGTCTGTATGAGTCCACTCAACTTTAGGCTTCTCAAGAACTTTAGTGATTGAGAAACTGGGGGAAAAATTAAAGTCCTTATATTATTTCAGCTGGAATGGATAAATAAGGTTTATACTGTACCAATTAAGACAGAAAAATGCTACTGTGGTTATCAAGAGTTTGAAGCATTTTCAAATATGAAGAGAAAGATAAATGAACAAACATACTTTCCCACTTGAAAAGGCAAAGTGATTTCGAGTGGTGCTCCTTTGAAAGGATGACGTTCTCCAAGAACAAACTGGGCCTCCTGCTGGTTGACAAGCACTTTATGGACTGTTAAATCCTTTGTGTCCAAAACCTGTCAAGAAGGTTCATAGATTCTTACTGATAAACATCAAAAGATCTTGCCAGTGTTTTACAACATCAAATGAAACAAACACAGGAATTTTTAAAAGTGGTCAGTATCAATTATTCTAGAGAGACAATTCAAAACAAAGACGAAGAGGTACAAACTGAACAAAAAAGGAATACAAAAAAGTACAAGTTCTACTTTTAAACATAAACACATGCCAGACTTTTCCAAATTGCCAAACATTTACAAAAAATAACACGAACAAACAAGCCACAGAGTGTGTGGTATCTTCATTGTTTCCCAACTCAATACACATGTCAATGCTATATACTTTTGTAACATTAGGCCAGGCATGAATATAGGATTACTATCTTCAAAGCTTCTTCTGCACAGTGAAAGTATTTAACTGCTACAAAGATACACAATTTGAGCTACAATCTGACTAGTTTTCAACAACCAGAATAAATCAATTCATTTTAACTTCAAAAATGTTTTACTAGTTCCAAGTCCACAGACTGTGCTTTCTCATACTAACAAAGAAAAAATCCTATAACTTAAATTTTATCTTTTAGTGAAAGAAGCAGGCTCGTGATACTCTTTTTTTTGGAGCCAAATACAACAGGCTCTTGTGGATACAAGTCTTGGAAGAAACACTTCTTAATCAGAGGTTTATTTACTTAACAGCAACAAGAAAAACATGGTGTATTTGTGCTAAGTGCACTGTCTTCCAGAATTTTATGCAATCATTTCTAGGATAAAGTCCTAGAAACTGACAACATAAGCCAAGTCTGTGTTAAAGTAAACTGTAGTCTTCAGTTAGTTTATAGTTTAAAACTGCCTTTTCCAAATGGCAACTTGTAGAAATTACATATCCCATCATCCTAAATCAGAACAGCCAATCACTGGCAAACCAGGGATGACAGAAATTGAAGGCTATTTTATGATGATGATGATGATGATTATGATATTGATTGATTGATTGATTGATTGATATACTGCCCATCTGGCAGCCAGGGCTACTCTGGGCAGTTTACAAATAATCATAGTTCTATATTTTTAACTTGAGCAAATAAATACTTAAGACGGGAACCTTTGTCCTGCCAGATTTTTTTTATGGGGAACCCCCAATCTTCCCTCTCCACCTTGACCAATAGGAAGGTAGAAGCAAAGATCAAAATACCTAAGAGGGCCAAAGGTTTTTCCTCTCACACCTTAAGATTTTGCTTTTGCAAGCAAGAGATACACTATCAGGGAGACAAAGTACAACTGCAAAGAACCTGAAATGCAATCAAACACCAATCACTTATCAGTTCTTAATGCGGCAGGATTGCTACTTAACTCATTGTATTACATTGTTATACCATTGCGCGTTCTGGACATCCCGTTCCTTCAACCCCTTTAGCAGACAGAAAAGATCAAAAGGCCAGACCAACATTAAAGGTAACAATTGCAAGCGAGAAAGGATTTTAACTGCATTAATAAAATTTAAAACAGACACTCAAGTCAACCTTAAACCACCATCAGACCTATAAACATCGACTCACAAGTGCACCCCCTGTATTTTTTTATTGATGTATTTTATTTACTTATTTTTATATCTACCCCCTTCTCTCCAGAAAGGGAGAAGAAGGCGCACAACAGGTAAAAATACGTATGTTTCAAATGAAAATAAATTAAGATCGAGCGCCGGGGACGTGCCAACCCTCTCGGGGGGCTTCTAAGGAGCCCCACAGGCTGTCTCCCACCTCCTTCCCCACAGCGAGCCCTTCGGCCACGACCACCCTCCTTCCCCACAGCCGACACGCCTGCCGCGGAAGGGGAAAGGGCGGCGTGGTTACCAGGCAGCGCAGGCGGTCCCGCTCCGCCCGCACGGTGAGGGCCGCGCTCCCCCGCAACGACTTGCTCTCGAAGTCGACCCGGCAGCGCAGGTAGAGGTGGTGGGTCCGGCAGCAGCCGGGGTCGGCGAACGAGCTAGGATCCGCTTCGGCCATGACTTCCCTTCGCACTCCCGGGCCCAGGCGGCGCCGGCGAATATCAAGCCCGTCGCGCAGGGCTAGAGGTCCCACCCACCGCCCCCACGAAGAGGCTCTCCTGTAGGAATCCTGGGAAAGGTAGTTCTTTCACAGGAAAGTGCTTAGAGCACGTGGGGTTGGATGGACTACAATTCTAACAAACCACAGCGCGAGAGCCCGTTCAATGAACTCTGTTCGGATTGGTCAAACAACTATTGACATATACAAATCACGAATTGCCAGAAAAGAATTTAAATTGGTAGTAAAAGAAGGCTCACGTAAGCCACTCCTCGTTAGTATAGTGGTAAGTATCCCCGCCTGTCACGCGGGAGACCGGGGTTCGATTCCCCGACGGGGAGAGCAGTTTTTTTCCCCCTGCCCTCCTCTCAGTCTGAAACCTGGAGTGTATCTGTGTTATGACTATGGAATGATATAAAAAATTTGCCCCGATAGTGGGATTTGGCTAAAGGACGTTATAGTTTACGATACCATAACTATGTTAACATGGAAGTCCGTTTCAATTCACAGTGGCACTTCTTTTCTATACTGTAATCATGATCACTGTGGCTCTGTTGAGCACATTCAGATACAGATTAATCTAGTGGATATACTCAAATCTTTTTTCAGACTATAACTTTTTAAACGTGGTTTAAGATGAAGAATAAGACAACTTAGTTTTAATAATTGGATTTTGAAAAACAATACTGTGAGCAACAATGGAAATGAACTGCAATTTAATGGTGAACTGCCTTTACAAATCGCAATCTGATGTAGTATTGCATTGAATTTGGAAATGTCACTTTTTGAACTTATTGCATTGAGGTTGGAGTGTGTGTACTTATGTACTTCTGGCAGTAAGAAATTATTATTAAATCCACCCTACCTCCCAGCCTCCTCCCAGGCTTGTTCTAGCATTCTAATGGATTTTATTTCTTGACCTTTTGTATATTAAAAGCAGCGTTCTCCTTGGCAGTTGCTTACTTAACTTTGTTTTCTCAACAGTGATTATGACATTTTTCTGTTGTAAAAACCACCAGGTTTTGAAACTAGCCTTTTCAGGTCCCTAGGCTAGAGATGTAATTCTTCCAAAGAGTCTCTTGTGGAGCTTGCCTTGTATTGCATTTTCCTGCTCCTGTGCATATACTGATTTTTAAAGTAACTGATCAGCAAAATGAAGCGTGCTAACTGGAGGTGGTGGTGGTGGTGGGGAGTCCAAGCTGGTATGGTAAATGGATGAATACTCTTCTAATATGGGACTCAGCTACTGGTTGGACGGGATATAAATGGGTCAGAGTTCGCTTTGTCCTTGGGGTTAATCCCTGCCCCACCCTCCCTTAGGATAGACCAACAACAACTTATCCATACCATTAACCTTTATTTAAGGTAGACCCAAAAATTGTTAACAATAACAAGTATCTCCAACTTCTCCTCTCCACACAACAGTGTGTGAAAGAGGTTAAAATCTTGAACGTAACCAGATTGTCTTGAGGGGTTTCAGACCATCCAGCTCCATAACAGGTTTTGTAGGCCTTCAGCGCGGGTCTTGGTGGAAATGACAGGGAGGGACGGTGGGGTCTCTCAAAGTTGTGTCAGACTCTCCAGGCTCTGTGTCCATTCCTTGACGAGTTGGGCCATCCTGCCCTCTCTCTTTTCTCTGGCTACCTTGGTCCTTTCCCCTCGTATTCCCTTTCCCCACTCACTCGCCTCCTTCTCATCCCTGTAGGGTGTTAAATGGCTGTGCGTGCACCAAGCACAGTCCAAAGTGGTACAGTATGTAGGGATTTATAGATCTGAGCCTTTGTTAGCAATACAGTAGGACCTCTGTGTCCATAGTGATTATAGTGAACATTATTATACATTGGTGCCTCGACTTGCAGAATTAATCCGTATTGGAACAGTTGCCGTAGGTCGAAATATCCGTAAGTCGAAGCACCATTTCCCATAGGGGTGCATTGAAAACCATTTAATCCGTTCCAGCCAAAGGAAAAAATATCTCCCCAATAAAAATATAAATAAAACACTGCAACCCCCCGGGCCTGCAAAAACAAACAAACAAACAACAAATCTAAAAACATAACCCCACCAGCCCAATCACACCCTTCAAAAGCCACCCAAAACAGTAAAAAGTTAAAAGCAGCACCTT